TCCTTCTTTGATGGCCCCGTTCTTTCCACTAGGATCTCACTCACAGAGATCTTTCATTTAGTGTATTTAGTGTTTTTTTTTTTTTTTTTTCCCAGAGTGTCTTGGCTTTCCTTGCCTAAAATACTCTCATGGGCTCTTCAGCCAGATCCGCATGCCTTAAGGACTAATTCTGAGGCCAGAGTGCTGTTTAGGACATGTGCCATTCTATGAGTCTGCTGTGTATCCTGCTTCCCATGTTGGATTGTTCTCTCCCTTTTTTATTCTATCAATTAGTATTAGCAGACACTAGTGTTGTTTGTGTGATCCCTTTGACTCTTAGACCTATCAGTGTGATCAATTGTGAACTGAAATTGATCACTTGGACTAGTGAGAAGGCTTCCATAACCTTGGCAACTCATGACTAGAGCCTAGGGTGATTACTGATGCCATAAACAAGAGTGTCAATTTGTTAAGTCAACAACAGGAGTCACTGTGTACTTACTCCTCATGTGGGATCTGTCCTTAATGTGTTGTCCAATGTGAAGTAATGCTATAACTAGTACTGAAACAGTATTTTACACTTTGTGTTTCTGTGTGGGTGCAAACTGATGAAATCTTTACTTAATATATACTAAATCGATCTTCTGTATATAAAGAGAATCGAAAATGAATCTTGATGTGAATGGAATAGGAGAGGGAGCGGGAGATGGGAGGGGTGCGAGTGGGAGGGAAGTTATGGGGGGAGGAAAGCCATTGTAATCCATAAACTGTACTTTGGAAATTTATATTTACTAAATAAAAGGTAAAAAAAAAGAATTGGAAAACAAACAATTTGAACATTTCTACTGGTAGTCTTCGATATAAGTGATCCTCAACTAGAAAAACTGTTGAATTTTCTTTTTCTTTCTTTTGCTGTCAGTTCTCTCTCTCTGACTCTGTATCTCCTCTATGGTTTCTCTAAGGACCACCAGGATGTCTACTGAGGACAAATCCACTTTCCATCAGAAGAGTTCAAAAATCACCTACTAGGCCCCGAGCTTACAGATACCAAGAAAAGAAAAGAAATGAAGCAAGAGGGAGGTGACAAGATCCACAGTGAACACGAAAGAGGAGACCAGAATCTTTTGGTTGGAAGGGCTCAGAAGGAAAAGTGGATGCCTAAAGACATTCGCTTTCCAACCTGAGTGTTCACTGTTGCTTTTTAAAGTGTGAACCTGCGCTGCGGTCCTTTGGCTTCCCAGGAGGGACAGGAACTTGTTCAGTGAAGAAATCCAGCTTTTGCTGGACTTGCTTATGGCCTCAAGCCCAGAGCTGAATAAGAGCTGCCTCCAAGAGTCACAAGTTCCCCTTGGGAAAAGACAGAATAAGCCAGAAACACCAGAAGAGGACTTATTCCATCTTTTCAATTATTACTATTTGTGAAGGTCTCCCTCCTTCCAGGCCAAATTCAGAGGTATCATTGGCACTATCTTCAGTGCTAACCTTCCACTTGTCCAGCTGATGGCAGGTTTGGGCATTAGTTCTCAGCTGTCAGTACGAGCAGGCAAAGATGAAAAAGAGGGAAGGAGCAGTAAGGAATCGCACACCTCACTCACTGGCTCTTCAGTCTGGGGAATTAGAAGCGCTGATTGAACATCGTCACAAATACTGCAGCCTCCTCTGCCTACAGTAGGTTTTACTCACTCATGATCAAGAGAAATGTAGACCCAGCAACATCAAGATATTTAAGTGCTCAAAACGAAGAAAAAACATAGTTCTGCTTTCCCGATTCCCTAGAAAGTCAAGCTGAACTGCAGAGCTTTCTGGAAGTGGCTACCCATGCATTTTGTAGTGTCGCATCCTCCTCTGTTCACCTCCAAGCTCTTTTATGGCATGGTTGTAATTGCTGTTGTTTTTATTATGTTTCTCTCAATGAAGCCTTGCCTTTCTGGATGTCCTGAGGCAAAACAGGAATAATCATGAGGTGTTTGTCCTTGGTACCCATTCAGCAGTTCCTCCTCTCCTACCACCTAACCAGAGAGACTAGACCTCCAATGGAGCCGTCTTGCAGGATGCTCCATGGCCCATATCTGTCTACCATGAAAGCAGGTCTTGGGCCTCCCCCGTTATGGCCCTGCTAAGTAACTATCTAGTTGTTTCAGATCTTCTCTATCCTTAAGCCCCCAGATCACTCGACTCAGAAGATCAGAACCAGTTAAGCAACTGTTTTCACCTACCCTGCCTGACTTCTTTCTCTGAGAAGACTCATTGGCTTTCCTGGTCCAGGGGAATAAGCACCCTTTGGACTCCATGGCATCCTTCCATTTCTCCTTGGCAAATGATCTACAATTTGCCTTCTTAATTACTGAAATGTTCTCCTCTTCTAGATTCTTCTCTCCAGGCAATAAGGGACAACTCTCGCGGCTGGCACTGTGGCGCAGCAGATTAAGCTGCTGTCTGCAGTGCCAGCATCCCATATGGGCAACTGGTTTGAGTCCTGGCTGCTCCACTTCCATTCCAGCTCCCTGCTAATGCTCCTGGGAAAGCAGTAGAAGATAGCCCACATCATTGGCCCCTGTACCCACATGAGAGACACAGATAAAGTTCTTGGCTTCTGGCTTTGGTCTTTCTCAGCCCTGATCATTGTGGCCATTTGTGGAGTGAACAAGCAGAGGGACAATCTCTCTCTCTCTCTCTCTCTCCTTCTCTGGTACTCTGACTTTCAAATAAATAAATGAATCTTAAAAAAGGACAATTCTTTCCAGGCTGAGCATAATACATGGCACATTGTATGTGATCAATTAGGATATGGCTGAGTGATACACACACACACACACACACACACACACACCTCTTCTCTCAAGCAAGGCAGCCATATTGCACCATTCCAGGGCATCACTGTGTTTTACCCCATGTGAACGACATTCCCTTGAGACATACACTGGAATAGCACTGCCATCAAATATCTTTTCTAAAACAATCAAATGATTCATAAAATATTTTTTCTTTTATAAAAAAATATGGTTCTATAAGGAATGAGTATCCTCTAAGCCCAGATTAAAAAAAAGAAAGTGTCTTTCCATCCCAAAAGTTTTCAAAAGAATCAGATGCACCCTGAATGTTTTAGTTCCATATTGAGATAAGGAAAATTTAAATCCAGACACAGCTATCTCGTCAGTTTCTTATAGCCCTACTGCTTTTTATTCTATAGAAGAACACAACACATTTGTAGGCACAGCAAAATATTTATGTAAGGGTCAGGCTGGTATATTGGCTTCAAAAGAAAGAATTCTAAAACCAAATGATCCAAACACTAATCCAACATTTTTGATTTTGGAGTTCTTTGCCAAGACTGGACTCCATGCATAGGTAAATCAAATAAACTCACTGAACCAAATCTCCAGAATTGCTGTTTTCAGAATGTCAGGAATCAGGAAAGAATCTAGGTGTGTAACCACACAGGATCTTGGCCGAAGCCCTTTGCCAAGAAACATAAATACTGCTACATACTCCTTCCACATATACAAGAGCTTTACAATAATCTAACTTTTATAGAAAGTAAAAAAGGCCTTTTTCAGTTTCATTTATCTAACCATGTTTTACAGAAAAGTTCCATTTGATGAACAGAAACTACACTGAGATTTTAAGCAAATCAAAGTTTGGTGTAAAATTAAAAAAAAAAAAAAGTGGAAAGGATTTAAGACCCCACATCCACATTTCTATAGGAAAAACAGTTCCTATTCCTAGGCAGTATAGTTACCCTGAGCTAAAGACAGACGGTGTTTGAATAGAAAAATGAGTCTTCTAGGCAACTGTTTGCTGACCTAGCGGGTAAGCTGTACCAGAAACATCAGGAAATGCCAACTGTGTTGTCCTTAATTAGATTGGATCTAAGAGGTTGTCACTCTATGTAACTCGGTCTTAAGAGAAAATGTAGAACTGCTCATATGTCTAAATCAGTGAAGGTTTAAATGATAAGATTAGGTTTTTTTTTTTTACTTGCAGAAAATTTAATGATTTCCTATTGCTTTCAAAATCCTCAACCTGGAAAAAAACAGATGCTTTTAGTGAATTTGTGCTTACCTCTCCAGTTTTCTCTCTTGACAACCTTCTCCTATCTGAGCAATACATGCATACACGTGTATGAGTGTGTGAGTGCGCACACACACACACACGCACATTGCACTCTGATCTTCAGCCACACTAAACCATGTACAACACAGGAAACGTCCCACCTTCTCTTCATGGCTCCTCTTTTGTATGTTATTCTCTGTGATAGCTTTCCTTTCCTCACCTTCCTGGCTTTGTTCCCTCTTTCCGTGAAGACTCGGCTTAGACGGTAACTCCTTTGGGAAGCACTCCACAATCTTCCGAGTCTGGCTTGGTTATCCCTTCTTTGTGTTCTCATAGGGCTTTGCCCCCATTATAGCACGTAATAGAGTTTCTCATTTAAGTTATATTTCCTCTCAGTAAACTGTAAATTCTTTGAAAACAAGAGGCTCCAACCTGACTCAGAAAACTTTGTCAACTCAATGCTAGATGCTAGCTTATCCATCCCTGACCATATTTATGCTTGATATTATTGCTGATGACTTGAACAGGTTAAAAGAACAGATAAATGAAGTACACTAAATAAATAGAGATTCTATGTAAAGACATTCATTCTACTTAAATTTTAACTCACATAATTCTTGATTTCCTTTGGCCTCATGATGTAAGAATTTGAAAGAATTAGAAAAATCTAAATCAGTGGCCCAAATTCAGAAGAACCATATTCACATAATGAGAACATTCAGAAAGCGCCATGGTAGTCTGGAAGGTCTGATGAAAGTTTCCAGGTTTTGATGAAAGTAATGGACACAGGATATTTTTACTGAAGGAAAACGGATACAGGGTAGGTATAATGTAGCTAGACAGGAGAAAACAAAATACAGAAACTGGCTTGACTTCCCAACGTGGAAACTGCCAACAGCCAATAGAGACTGGATGAGAAGTCTACTTTGCTAAGGAGCAATCAGAACCATCCTTGGGTGGGTCCTTACCCTCTGGCCTGGTGAGCCATCACGTCCAGGTGAACCTATGCCTCCTGGGATACCCTAGGTAGAAGACAAATGAAAATTCAGATTCACAGAAAGCAGTCAGTTTCATTCAGCTTCCCTGAAACAAGTCAAAGCCTCCAAACAAGGCTATAAGCAAAATGGTGAACCTTGATGACTTAGATAGAATTCAGTCCTGAAAGTTATCCACGGAAGAGAACCTTAGCACCACTATCCCAACCCCAGGGCGCACTGGAGCTTTCCTGCAGAGCATCAGTGTGGGTCTCGTATGGGGCTTAAGGTAAATGAATACAGGCACACAGTCTTTAATATGGAAACCATTCGTTACCAGAATCACAGCTGACTTCAGAAACTACAGCCTCTTTTCCTTGGCAAAACTCTAGAGCCAATAATAGCATTAGACTGAAAAATATTAAAAAATAATACCTGTGGGCCAGGAAGGCCAGTGTCTCCTTTCTCTCCTTTTTCACCTGGCATTCCCTGAATATCCAAAAGTACAGAGAGTTAAGTTCACACAAGCAAATTCTTAGTCTTTTCTTCTCCCTGCTCTGACTTGTAGAATATGCTTCAACATGAAATTGCTTTAACACTAACATCCAAAAGAGCATATTTCACTCCTCACATTTGCTATGCCATTTATGTAAACATTCCTGTGAAGCTGAACATTAAACACCAGAATAGTTTCAACATAGAATACACAGTCCAACATCGCTAAGCAAATACCCTAAATACATGGGAAGGAGAGTTGATTTTTCCATATTATTTATACTTTAGATTTTAAAATATCATACCTATGTAGATTTGGTTTTATTTTGGCTCAAAAAACATGAGTAGAATATAAGAATAGAAAAGCCAACACAAAACCTAAAAAGTAGTAACACCTCAACAAAATGTTTATAATTTATAATCATTTGATTATAGAAACTTGCATGCTGATACTTTCTAAAACATAAAAGTAATTCTGTAGGGGAAAACTCTCAGCTAACGAGACAGAAATACCATCTCAGATGGATTGCTAAAACATGTGTTTAGGCCGGCACCGCGGCTCACTAGGCTAATCCTCCGCCTAGCGGCGCCGGCACACCAGGTTCTAGTCCCGGTCGGGGCGCCGGATTCTGTCCCGGTTGCCCCTCTTCCAGGCCAGCTCTCTGCTGTGGCCAGGGAGTGCAGTGGAGGATGGCCCAGGTGCTTGGGCCCTGCACCCCATGGGAGACCAGGAAAAGCACCTGGCTCCTGGCTCCTGCCATCGGATCAGCGCGGTGCGCCGGCCGCGGCGGCCATTGGAGGGTGAACCAACGGCAAAGGAAGACCTTTCTCTCTGTCTCTCTCTCTCACTGTCCACTCTGCCTGTCCAAAAAAAAAAAAAACAAAAAAACATGTGTTTAAAGGAATCTAATCAGATTCCTTTAAATCTAATCGAATTCCTTCAAATATTAATTAGAGACAGATTTTATTATTTAAGCTTATATCTTATTATTTTATTATATATTTTATTATTTTACTATTTAAATTTAGATCCCTATAGAAGATTAATGAGAATCAGTGAGTGGAGTTACACTTGTCTTCAATGGTTCAGAATAGCTCTTCAAAGGAATGTTAACTCTATAAATACACCATCTAAATCTAAAACTCCCACTCAACGGACTGCGCAGTGATGGCAGCTGCAATTAGGCTCATGAATAAATGGCTTTCTTAAAGTACATCCAAAATTCCTAAAAATAAATAACGAATAACTTAAATTTGTGTAACATTTGTTCTTTTCTACTTAAGAATTTAGCCAAACAAGAAAACAGGCTATACATGGTAAGCCATATTTTTCTTCCACATAAATTTGTAGTTTGTGGATATTCTTATTCCCTGCTCACGCACCTGTATTTAAAAGACCTCCAACAATGAGCGAAAAGAAAAACAAACCAGGTGGCTAAGGACATAACTGGAGAATAGGCTCTCAATCAATCATTACTTTCAAAGGGACTGAGGATCACTATCAAAGCACAGAAGACAAAAGTTCATTCTTTTTAACCTCATGGAAAAGTGGATGAAACCCTTCTGAATGTTTGCACACAACTCACAGGCATTCCTTGAATGGACAGACCACTTGGTCCTTGAGGTCCAGGGGGGCCCTGGGGTCCTGGAGGGCCTGTTTCACCACGAGGTCCATCTGGTCCCTGGAATACAAGACAGAAAAGTCATTCTAGAAACAAGTTAAACTCTTTGATACCAAGAAGATATTTCTGCTTAGGGCACTTACCATGTATTTCCTTATACAATTTTTCCTAAGTATGAGACATGCAAACAGGAGCAAGACACCAAGCCTTAAATGATTCCCCTCCCAGGCCAATGTCATCAGTGAGCTATACAACAGCAAACACACAGGGATTGCTATAATCTTTTTGTTTGTTTGTTAGCTTCCCTAAGTGAGAATGCAGTACTATGTGAGTAATTAGACCCTCCACATGTCATAATAAATTCAAAGGGTGCAAGTGCTTCAAGACTACCCTCCCGGGCTGTGACGTGTCAGCCACCCACTGTACTTGATTCTCCCCATCTTCATCACTGTCAACTACCACCTCAGGAACATGCCTTTGTATTTACTGAGAACTTTGCACCAGGCCTCAGTTTGCTTTCTCACCTTGAAATGGCCATCCCCTATACTTCATCAGTGTCCACCGAATGACCTGCTGTAGGCTCTATATTATTTGATTTACTTTCTTTTCAGGATAAGGTATCTCTTTCACTTTAGCACCCTCTATATAATTTGGACTCTGTTGTGGTTTAAAAAATGCCACCTCCATAATCATATACTCAGAAAGTCTACTTATCCTCAATTTCTTTTTCCCTTATTCTGTGACTCAAACTAAAGCTATATTTTATGCAGTTAAAATTGCCAATATTTGGGTACCACCTTATTTAGTTAAATTTAACATAAAGATATATATTTATATGATGCCCTTGATATTTTGGTACATGTACACATTGTATAATATTCACAGTAAAATAATCATATCAAAATCATAAAACATTTATCATTTCAGAGAAAAAAATCCAAAATCCTTTTTTTAACTTTCTTGATATATTTAGTATATTATAACTACTACAGTAGTACATTATTACTATTAAAGGCACCCTACTGTGCAGTAGCATACCACAATTTCCTTCTCCTATCTAACTGCAACTTAGTGTCTGTTGACCAAACTTTCCCTTCCCATCTCTCCCTCCTGTACTCCATAGCCTCTAGAAACCACTGTACTACTCTCACTTCTACCAGATCAACATTTGTAGATTCCACAGATGAGTGACATCACACAGTATTTTTTTTTTTTTTAGTCTGGCTTCTTCAACTTAACGTAATGACCTCCAGTTCTATCCAAATTGTCTCAAATGCCAGTGTTTCAAACTTTGTAATGAACATGTAGTATTCCGTACTGTATCACATTTTCTTTATTCGTTAATTAACTGGTAGACATTTAGGTTGTTCCCATTTCTTGGCTATTGTGGATAATGCTGCAAGAAATATGGAAGTACAGATGTCTGTTTGACAGACTGATTTCATTTCCTGTAGTTATTTCACTTGAGTACTATCTTATACATAAGCTTGGGGAATCCACTACCTGAGTCAAATAATACAGAAGAAAAATCATAATGGGGTAAATAAAGATAAATTCAGTGAGAAGATGGAGATCTCATAAGATTCAGATGAACAGGGAGAACCACATGGAAATGTCCAACAGTTTGGTAGTCAGGTGAAATCTGGATGGGATTTGGGGTAGTTGTAGACAAATTATTAGGTGAAGTTATTAAGGAGAGCTTGTTGATATGGTGAAAGAGAAAACGGATAAAAATGAGATAAAAATTATATAGAAGAGAGAGAAAGAGAAGCCTTGGAAATAATCCAAAATGAAAAAGTGTAAGAATTTAGGGGGAGAATGAAGATATAATGTGGTAGTAGTGTAGAATGGGCCAAAGGAGGAGAAATATACAAATAATGGGATGTCTAGTTGTTTCAGATGTTGTAGATGACATAAGCAATATAACCATAGCCAATGGAACTTGTAACGAGCAAGTAATGGGTGACTGTAATGAGAGGAATTTCATAGGACTTCTAAGGGAAGGTAAGTCATATGCAGGTTGAGAATTATTTTGGAGATGAGGAGGTAGAAGCACTGAATGATAACTGTACATAAAAGTATGGTATAAAAGGAAAGAAAATAGAGGTATCTAGAAGTTTAAAAGTATGACTGAGGAGACAAACAGGCAGTTTATTAATATTGTGTAACACTTTAATAGTTTAATAATATATAGATTATATGTTATTGAGTAATTGAGATAAAAGTATTAGGACAAAAATTAGGTAGTCTGATTTTATTTCATATAAAGACAAAAATATAAATATAAATATATCTACAGAAATGAGACAAAATGACTAGGAGAAACAAACCACATGATTGCTTTGCACTTCAAAATTCTTTTTATCTATTTGTTCTAACAAAATTTAAAAATATATATTGGAGCTTTAACATCAACAATGTAGTTTATCTGTTCCTATACTGTTCACACTGGTGAACACATGAGCATTTTTTGTCCAACAAAATTTTCTAAAACTCTTATATACTTGTATAGTTGATGCATCAAGAGTATCTTATAGAAATAATCATATCAGTAGTAATTTTGTGGGAAGGAAACAGTTGAATTTGGGGCCACTAAAAAACGTAGGAACTAATGTAGGAACTAAATGTAGAAACTAATTTATCTGTATAATTAGAACTATCATCCAGTAATAATGTTGGAAACACAATGTTGGAAACAAGCAGGTGTTGGGATGAGGAGATCAGAATCCACAGGAGCTCATGGGCTTTGTTGTTGGGTGAAACCAAAGAAGATCCAGAGCAGCCTTATTTCACAAGAGGCCTCCAATCATGGACCTTTCTTATAGCACCGTAAGAGATGGAGCCAAGACAGATACTTCAACTACGCCTCAGAACACAATACAATAAGCAGAAAAGGACACAGCTTATGGTCTGCGTATGAATTAGTACCCGATTAACTCTCTTCAGCCTTCTTTCAGTTACTTCATTTTATCCTCATAGTTTCTCCAATGTTGTTTCAGCTGTCTCCAATTACATAGTAAAATGTTTTTAATGTTGTCTTCTCCATGAATAAATGCTATGAAAATCTAATAAGAAGCCATGTTGAAGCAGTAAGTCAAGCAAGATGGCTGGAGAGGAGATGGCATGGAACAACATGACGGAGATGAGATGGGGATCAGATTACGAAGGACTTTGAATGTCATGCCAGAGAGGATGACCTTTGTTCTCATGGCAATAGCACGTGACTACAGCTTTGGAAGAGAATGACATGACCCAGCATACACATTAAGGAAATTAATCCGGGGACAGATGTGAAGAATCATTCAGAAAGTCAAGCCACTGGAGACAGGAGACCAGTTAAGTGAATTGCCAAAAGCTAGAGAGTAGAGGATGAGGCCTGAACTCAATTAGTGGCTGGGATTCTGCCAGGCCTTAGGTTGCCTTTGTGCAAAACAGAAAAATGTGTGCCTTGGCATTGCTTACCATGGCCTGGTTCTCTTGGATAATGCCTTTGTACAACCTGAACCACCACATTTCACGGTTTTGGTCAGTGACAACGGAAAGCAAAGCTGTGTGTTTGATTATACAGAGTAGCAAAGGAGAAGAAGGAATCCCAAACCTGAGATATTACCTGGAAGGGATTGATGCCAAATTGTGATTCTGTATTATGCTTCAAAAATATACATTGTTGTTGTAGATAGAGGAAGATGAGAATGTACCAGAGAAAGAATTATCTTAGACACCAAGCCACTCAGAAAATTAACACTCTTATTTTGGACCCAGAAAAACTTTCCTGTTGTGAAACATTATTTTTGATTTAACAGCACATGTCTTCAAATATAACGAAAAGGGGTTCAATATGACTTTCTTGAAAATGTAGGCAGCTTTAGGCTGCAATGGTGGATTAAATCATATTGAACTCCAAAATGATGATGAATTATAACAGAGAGGGAGGGATGATAAATGGACAAGAGGAAGGGGGAAAGGAATGGTAGAGGGGAGAAGGAGAGAGGGAGGGGGAGCAAAGGGAGAAGGAGGGGAGAGGAGAGGAGAGGAGGGCATGCACGTTACCTTTGGGCCTTGTTCACCTTGTTGGCCCTTTGGTCCTCGGAGTCCTGGACCACCCTGGCAAACAGATGTTAAGTATTAGCTCAAAGAAAACTCTCAAAACAGTATATTTCATTCATTTCTCTTAATAATACAGATTATGTCATTATTATTTTATATAAAACCCACACATTGTGTAATGGTATACAAATGTACACATGATCCTTAACTGAAAATTTGCCTTCAAGTCTCAAGATGATTGCATAGTTTGAGAAAACTTTCTTTGCCAAATCCTTTCAAATCTTGAGAAATTATGAAGTTTATTTATTTAGTGTTTATGTCAGACTATTACAACGAATAGATGCAGAAAATAACATACTGTTAATCTAAAATTTGCTATGATTTTAACATAATTTTGAAATTATTCAACTAAATTGTAAAAGGCACATGAAAATAGCAAAAATTCAATTTTCTTTACACAGAAATGAAGACAAATATGTGTTTCTATAATTTCAAACATTTCTACTTTCCCTCAAAATTATAATGTATCATCTATATTAGTATTCAACAGTTCTCTTTACATAGGCATATATACACATACAAAATAAATATGAGTATAAGTTCTTTGTATATATATGCTTAACGTATTTAAACATATGCACGCATATATAGACTCTGGATAGTTTCTTTGACTCAGAATTTCACTTAAATACATCTATTTTAAAAGAAAATCTTATAGCATTACAGCAAATTGATAAAAGTAAGGAATAAGGTAACCTTAAAGATAAATCTAGTATAAATGATTTTACTAAATTTAGTTAGATGTTGTTCTTATAAAAGTCTGTGAGCCCAGAGTTTGCTTTTTGATGAAGAAGGAGATGAACAAGTGTTGGAAGGGCCACGTGAGCACAAGATATAACTTCTCCTTCACATGAGCAGAAAGATTGGAAATGGATAATTTTTGTTGGGCTGGCGCTGTGATGTAGTAGGCTAAGCCTCTGCCTGTAGCACCAGCATGCCAAATAGGTGCAGGTGTGTGTCCTGGCTGATCCTCTTCTGATCCAGCTCTCTTGCTTATGGTATGAGGAAGCAGTGGAAGATGGCCCAAGTGCTTGGATCCCTGCACCCATCTGGGAGACCCAGAAGAAGCTACTGGCTCCTGGCTTCGGATCTGCCCAGCTCCAGTCATTGTGGCCATTTGGGGAGTGAACCAATGGATGGAAGATCTCTCTTTCTCTGTAAACTCTTTTAAATAAGTAACTATAAAACTTAAAAAAAAGAAACAAAATTATGTCACTGGGGAAATACTGGGAAAAATACTGCAATTTCTAAATTGTATTTTATGTATCTGTATGTGTATCTATAAAAATATTGAAAATATTGCCTATAGCTACTATTGCAGTGTTAGTTCATGGTATAGATGTCATACATAATTCTAATTTTTAAACTTAATATATTTTAGAGATATCGCAGAGATTAACCCATTATTCTTAATTTTTGCATAGTTGTCCAAATCTTAGATATGTAATAATTTGTTTAGTTGTTCGTCTATTATTGGAAACTAAAGTGGTTTTCCTCATGTTTTTTGCTGTTTAAACAAAGCTTCAATTAACATCTTTATATATTCTTTAAGTTAAAATGTTAGTATTTCTCAAAAGAAGATACCAAAAAGTAGAATTGTAAGTGAAATTTGACAGGCATGCAGATGTATTACCAAATTGCACTTCAAAATTGCTATGCCAGTTAAATATCTGCCAATGATTTCAGAGGCTCCCTATTCTATAAATCTCAGTCAACATCAAATACTATCAACCAACATTTTAATAATCTGGCCAAAAAAACCTCTTACTCTAATTTTCATTTCTCTGAAAATTACTATGATTTTTTCATAACTTCTGTCCATTTATGTTTTATCCAAACTGTGAGTGCTATTTATACACTTTACCAAGTTTTCTATAGGATTTCATGCCTTTTCTCTTTAGTGGTTAGAAATTCTTCATGTATTAGAATACTATACCTTTGCTGTATATATGTGTATATGTTCTATGTACATATGTTACTTATGTGGCAAATATTTTTCACCAGTGGGTCAGATACTATTGGTTGGCCACCAGAGAGCATTTTCTGACCCCCTTCTTGCTTTTCTACCTGCTGTTATAGGCTTAAAAAATAATTATTTGCTTTCCATGTTTTTTAAAATTTTTTATTTATTTATTTTTTTTGCAGGTAAGAAAGGATACGTTAACCTGTTTTGGCCAATTTGATCGAGAAGCATCAAGTGTAAGGAAGACAGTGTGAGAAATTGGAAGGAGCTCAGGTCCATGATGAAGCTGTTGACCAGACTCATCTGCCCAGGACCAATTATCTCTAAACATTGTGTTGAGTGAACAATTAATGCCCTATTAGAGTATACCTCTGTGTTAGTCAAATTTTCTGTTTTTTGCAGCCTAGCACATCCCAGTTAACCTTTTTGAATGTCTATAACAACTCTAATTTGACCTGTGCATCTTAAGTGATTTGTATTTAACAAGTTTTATTCCAATGCGACTGTTTGTCACCCATATAATCATGCCAAAGGCCCCAATTCTCAAAGTTGGGGATCATTTTATAGCATTAATTTATTTTCCCTCCTTATCACTAACCTTTATCTCTGAGTATATAACAAGAATTCAACAAATATTTGTGTATGAAAACAACTATCCTTTTAATAAAACAGAATCAGTCTAGCCAAATGCACATGGTTCTTCCGCCCATGCTTTCCTACAGGTCTCTATGATTTTATTGGCTGGTCATATCACTTTGTAAATGATTGAATGAGAAGTTAATCAAAACTATGTTCCATCACCAGGCAGGATTTATTACATATTGTTTGTGATAATGTATCTTAAATAATTTGTTATACTTTATATAAAACACTTGAAAACTACAGTATTTAACTCCTACTTTACATTTTATGCCCTCCCACCCAAGTTAGAGTTCAACCACCCTCTCCACCTTTTTCATATCTCTGCTGTCTTTTCTCATTAGAGAGTTTCAGTCTTAGGTAATAAATAAATAAATATTTTATGAGTTGCTCCAGAAGTATTGCAGATGAAAGAAGTTCAAAAACCCTCCAGCTACAAATGCTTATTAGTGCTACCTAAAATAAAATAAACATTATTGTAATTAAGCACTGAATCCTTAATTACCAGGAATAAAGAAGAAACCAAAAATTATAGCAAGACACGTGCACTGAGATTGCCCCTGGGGAGGAGTTAGGATGGTTGAGGCTTGCTGCACAGCTTAAGTGTAAGAGCCCATGCAGAGCGTTGAAATGGGAACCTCAGGCCAGGGCATGCAGGGAAAGGGCTGACTAGGTAACATTCTTTGAAAACAAAGAATCTGAAACGCTATCTTCTGAAGGACATAGAAGAAAAAATGGCTCATTTTCTATTTTAGTTAAGGCAGGAATACTAAATGTCTCCCCTAAGAAATTTTACCTAGAAGCCATTCTTATACCATCTGGGGATCAGAATTCATCTTGGCTAAGAGACTCAAAACAAAACGCCAGAGTCAAACCTTTAAAGTGGTTTTCTGTGCGTTGTATATCTAGGAGCTTAGCAGAGTAGATATAGGTATTCCCTGGAGTTTAAGTACAAGCTCCAAATACTATCAGAATTAAAGTTTCAAGTGCTATTGACTCAAATCCATATACACACACACAATTACATAGTACATGCGGAAATGTTACTATGAGTAAAATTAGCATACAAAATGCAGAATCAGAATCACATATATAGAAAATATTGAAATTATCAGATAAAGAATATAAACTTAAGGGCAGGCTCTAGCACAGAAGTTAAGATGATGCCTGGGATAGCCACATTTGTTCTCCAGGTGCCTGGGTTCAACTTCCAGCTCCACTTCTGGTTCCAGCTTCCTGCTAAGGCACATGCTAGGAGGCAGCAGGAGATGATTCACATGGTTGGGTCCCTGCTACCCACATAGGAGAACTGTACTGAGTTCTTGGCTCGCAGCTTTGGCCTGCCCTAGCCTTGGCTATTAGGGGTATTTGGGTAGTGAATCAAAGAATACAGGAGCTTTCTCTTCCTCTCTCTCCCCCCAACTTTGTGTGTGTGTGTTTCTTTCAAATAAACAAATAAGCTCTTTTAAGACAGGGCATTTTTAAAAAAGGAATATAAGCCATATTTAATATTTTTAAAAGATGTATTTATTTATTTGAAATCAGAGTTGGGGGGGGGGGGGGGGAGATTACAACTGCCATCTGCTAGTTCACTTCCCAGATGGCTACAGCAGCCAGCACTGGGCCAGGCCAAGGCCAGGAGTCAGTAGCTTCATCTGGTCTTCCATGTGGGTGGCAGGGGCCCAAATACTTTGGCCATCCTCTGCTGCTTTCTCCAGGCCATTAGCAGGGAGTTGGATCAGAAGTGGAGCAGTCAGGACAAGATCTGGCACCCATATAGGATGCTGGCATCACAGGCAGCAGTCTAACCAACTATATCACAATGCCAACTCCTGTATTTAATATTTTTAAAAGAAAAACTGAAATGTATTATACTAGAATAAAAGATGATGCAAATGATAAATAAAAACCAAATATAATGCATAGATATGCAAAATACAAAGTTGAAATCAAGAACAAAATTGATAGCTTAATTAGCATATAAATATAGCCAAATATAGAATACACTGGAAGATAATTTTGAAGAAATTATCCAGAGAGAGTGGGTAAAAAATAAATGAAATGAAGTCCAGAGAGATGGGTAGAAAATAAATGAAAGATTAAGTGACATGGAGAGCAGGAAATCGTAATGCATATCCAGTTGGAGTATCAGAAAAAAGTAATAGGAAATATCCAGAGAGATTGTGGCCTACAATACTAACTTATTCAGGAAGTTGATAGTCAAATTTAAGAAGCTTAAAAAATCTAAAAGAGTTCAAACAATGACAATGGTGAAAATTCATATCAAAGATATAGTTCAGTGAAATTTCAGTACACAAAAGCCAAAGGTGTCTTATAAGCAAACACAGAGAAAAGACAAACTGCCCACAGAAAAGTGGAAATTAGAGTGGCAGCT